CTTAGCCTCAGCAATATATCCCATCCATTTTAGTGGTAACCAAAAAATATTGGTTGAATAAATTCAGTGAAGTTATTCTTTTAATATATCTTACAGCTTTCTCTCTTTTCATCAGCAGAAAGATTAGGTTTCTTTACATTGCAATTATCACAGACATATCTTTTTAAAGTAAAATAATTTTCTTTTTAGAATTTAAAATAATACATATAAGTAGTATTATCCTTTATATTATATAAACTAGGAAACCTTCTGGCAGAGAGCAAACTGCTTAGAATGAAAAAGAAGATTCCATAACATTGATTTCTTTTTTATTCTCACAGACTGAGTTGCTTAAGTAGAATGTAATTCACTCATTGTAGCTTGCAAATATTAAATTTATTTGTCTGTTTACATAGTTCTATATCTGCCTAACAATGTAAATTTCATTTTTTGTCTGTCTTGCTCACTGTTTTATACCCAACACCTAATACAGTACCTGGCAAATAACAGGTTCTCAACGTACTGTATTTCATCAATTCTAAGATACTTATTTTTTCATATTACAACTCTCAAAAATCAGAATATATTTTATATTTGATGGCATCTTGACATTATATCATAGTTTAAAGGTGAAGGTGTTCTTAGTAGTAAATAAAATAATGGTGTGTTATGATCAATGGCATCTTTGACTTTATGAAATAAGGTATGCTATTTAAATAGAAAAATGATGATGTTATATAACTATCTAACATCAGTAAAGGTAAGTGAGAGAACAAAAGTAAACCAGATTAAAATAAGCTACTACTGCTAGTGTAGGTTTGCTAGATAAAATACAGGTCACCCAGTTAAATTAGAGTTGCAGATAAACAACAAATAAATTTTTACTATAAGTATATTCCAAGTATTCCATGGAATACATGTTAAATTAGAGTTAAATACATGTTAATTAGAGTTAAATACATGTTAAATTAGAGTGAGTTTCAGACAAACAACAAATAAATTTTTACTCTAAGTATATTCCATGGAATAGTATAGTATAGTATACTTATAGTATAAGCATACTATAAATTCCTGAAATTGTAATTTAACTGGTGTCCTGTTAAAACTGGCAACCCTATGCTGGTTAGAGATACAAAAGTAGCCTCTTGTTTTATAAAGGCATTATGTAAAGTACTGAGTCTTAGGTACTCACCAATATAGAAAGGAAGTGTTCAAATATCTATATATATTGTAAACTATGGAATGAATTTTTGTAATTAGAGAAAAAAGGAGTCGTCAGCTGTTTCAATATTACCTTAGCAATTTAAAAATCCTCACCAAAGTGCAAAATATCCTTGAAATTTACAATGTGATCTATTTTCTTACCTCAGCATAAGCTTTGGCCCATGTACTTGCCAGCTGATGTAAGTCTACTTCACCTGATTTCACAGCTTCCAGAGATGCTTCAGCCTCTCTATCATAATCTCGGAGGGATTCTTCCTCTATAAACTGGCTCAAAGCTTCTTTTAAGTCTGTAATAGGGTCAAGAAATACCATCAAAAAAATTCAGACATAAACAGGGTATATTTTACCTGATTAAGCATTTCAACATGAAATTTTATTATATCAAGCTTATATACTTAATAAAATGTTTCAATAAAATAAGCTTCAGGGATCATTTAACTAACTCACAACCATTTTTCTTTACTATTACAGGTCACTGCATGGAGAACAGTCAAAAACCTTAACTCATGTGTAACTTTGATATAATTTATAATGTTAATTTCTTAAGTCTGATGTTTCGGTTTGAAATTCAGTTCAATTTGAAATCCAAATTGAAATTTGGATTTATTATATCAAGCTTATATCCTTAATAAAATGTTTCAATAAAATAAGCTTCAGGGATCATTTAACTAACTCACAACCACTTTTCTTTACTATTACAGGTTACTGCATGGAGAACAGTCAAAAATCTTAACTCATGCATAACTTTGATATAATTTATAATGTTCATTTCTTAAGCCTGATGTTTCGGTTTGAAATTGTCAGTAAAATCACATATAGAACACTTCTACAGATTTTGAGGCTTTGAGGATGACTGTATTTAAATGGAACAGTTTTCATTTAAATATACATATTTATGTATTGTTATACTCTAGGTATGTATTGCTATACTTTGATTTTGAAGAAACTGAATTAGTACATTAAAACTGATTTAATTCAGATTCTCTATAATTCCACTTTTAGAAACAATACTTAGAGACCGATATAAAGGAAAAAGCACTGAGACAGAAGTCAGGATACTTGTTTTCCTGTGTTGGCTCTGTCCACAATGTCTAATTAGATCAGTGGTTCTCAGTCTTCAGCATGCATCAGAATTCCCTAGAGGGCTTATTGAAATAGCTTATTGCATGCTACCTCCAGAGTTTCTGATTCAGCAAGAATTGGGTGAGACTCAAGAATGTGCAATTCTAACAAGTTTCCAGGTGATGCTATTGCTTCTGATCAGAGAACAAATATTGAGAACCACTGCCTTAGGCAAATAATTTAGCCTTTTTATGTACAGACTTCCTTATTTGTACAATGATATTGTATTAGAAAGATTCTAGGTTTCCTTGAACTCAAACTTTCTATAATCCAACGCATTCTCAATTTAACATTTTTTTCCTCATCTGTGAGATGGAGTATGAACTTTTAAAAATTGTTTAATACAGATGAAACCATAGAATTAATTTAGGTAAGCAAAAATTATTCAAAGATTTATATTCTTTCTCTTCCATGACATCGCAGGAATTGAGAACCAGATCAATTAAAGGGGCAATGCACTTAGCAATATAATTCTATAATATAATAATTGATGGCTGAAATGCCTTATAAATCCACCCAACTAAATTTAGGGGTTAAAAGTTTTATTCCAGACTTTGTAACTGATTTTACATTATATAACTTAGTTTTTATACAAACCTGCCTTATAAATAACTACAATGGATATAGGACAAAGCACTAAATAAAACAAAGTTCTGGGGAACATTTTGTTCTTAAAAGCAGTTAAACACTATATTTACAGCTCTTTCCAATGCTTCTTAGGTCTACACTTTCTAATATGAAACTTTTAATGACAGAGACTCTAGGAAAATAAAAAAGTAGTATTAAAAAATATCAGTTCTCACCTTTTTCTATAAAGCATGGTAAACTATGCAGCAGCATCAGACGTCCATGTAAATCGCTGGCATTCTCTTGAACAGGAAATTTAAGGGGCACCCTCAGCTCTAAGCACTGACTTCCTATTTTGAATTTATACACAAATTCCCTTTCTCTGTTGTAGAATCTTTCTCTGTTTTTCTTCATCTTCTTTGGCAGGATCTCTATAGAAGTAACAAAAAAAAAAGAGCAGCAGGCTAAAAGTCCATAAAAAACATGACATACCACTTCTAAGAAAATGTTCCACCATTCAGGATTTTATTTGAGTGACTATGAGTCAATTATTCTAGATTTTCCTACTTTTATCCCTGTGTTTTCATCTTCATGATGAAATGAAGTGCTTCTTTTTAAAGTGAAAAGGTTCTTTTAAGGCTTATTTAAGAAAAAATGTGTCCATAGAGTACTCTGCATTCCTAGGAAGGGTTCTCAAAAACATGAAAAGAACATGAAGAAAAGAGCAGAGAGGATTCTTAGGAAGAGATGCACGGGTGGGCAGGCAATAGAATTTGTGAAACAGTTGGTGAATACAAAGTCCAAGTAACATATCAGGAACCAAGAAGTGATCTTGGAGACCTTATGTTGTATGAGATCGGGCTTGGGGGAGAGGGAAGGAAGACGGGTGTTGGAAAGATTTCCACGTAGGAAAAAGATATTCAGAAAATATAAAGTACAAAACCTCCCACAAGGATCCTGTTCAGAAAGAAGAAAATCTAGTCAAAAAGAGTAAGAATCAACATCAAGTAAAGGTTTATTTATCAGCCTCCTTCCTAGACTCAATGTTTGGGCTTTTTCCTCATCAAAGTAGTTCTTACACTATTCTGAGTCAGAATAGAATAGGACAGTGAACTCATAATAATCTTTCCAAAGTAGATACCTGATCATGTTATTCATCTGCTTAAAACACTTTTATAACATTCCATTGGTTTCAAGATAAAATTCAAACTCCTTAACCCGGTTTACCATGCTTTTGCTTAAATCGCCAAGTTTTTTGTTTTTCAATACCTGCACCTCTCCTGCTCAAGACACAAATTTGCAAATTTTATTTTCCAGCCATACTGAACTTCTTTCAACACCAAACCTTTTTTCCTCACTCCCAACCTTTCTGAATGCTTTTCTTTTGCCTAGAACACTTACTGCTCTTCTTTTCTTGGCTAAGTATTTTTGGTAAATAATAACCATTAGCTTTTGTTTCAATAGGTTCAACATTTAGACTTATGTTTTAACAAATTAGTTCTTTAGTTCTCTCTCCCCACTTTTTTTTTTAAATCAAGGGTGAAAATCAAAGGATTCCCATGCAAAAATGGGGTGGGAGAACGAGGACATGACAGAACTCACACCGTTAACAGAGTGAAGATTCTGAGAGGCAGACTGGGGCCGCTCTATTACGGGATTTCATTCTGAACGGGCATCCTCACTCTCGGTTCTGAACTCACCTCCCTACGTTCCGAAGCCCGAGAGGTTGCACACTCGGAGCTGTCAAGAAGCCGCGACACAGGGAACATCAGCTGACTAACCGAACGGTTTTTACAGCTATCAAATCCGCTTTGGCCGATTCGCCCACACATTTTCCTTTCCAGGCACCCCGTAGAAAATTCTTAGATCTAAGTGCCCCCTTGTTCCACCCTGTCTCAATTTAATCATTTAAAGTGTAATAAGGGCTGTTTCTACTGTTATTGTGTATTTCGTCGTAGGTACAAAAGCCACAGTTGTGACGAAAGTGTAGCGGAAAAGTACAAACTCGGCTCTGATAGAACGGAAGCGGAAGGGCAATGTCTTGGGGAGGGCGTGAACAGAGGAGGTCTTCTGAGAACGCATGCGCATTCGTAAGGATGGCTGGTAATCATTGGAGGACTGTTGGCAGGGGGCGGAGAGCTCTAATGTCTGGGTTTGGGCGGGAATTGAAACCGCCTCTGCTGCCCACAAGAACTTGATTGCCCCAACTATCCAGCGTTGAAGGGAGCCATGGTGCGGCCAGTGAGGTGAGTAGTTCAGGATCTCTGGCGGGGCTGGGCAGAAAGAGCAGGAAGACGTTGTAGGCGTCTTCACCTACACACGACTAGGGGAAAGGGCCGAGTAGAACAGAGGGTAACGATAGTGGGGTGGGGTGAGGTGGACGGTTACTGGGAAACTCTCCAGGCCTCCACTGAGGGCTACCCACTCATCAGCAATACCCCCTCTTTTTCCATCTCCTTGCCTCCCTTCGCAGCAGTTGTCGTTTCTTTTACCCACCCAACACAAATAAGACTTTGTTATGGTAGCATTCCAACAGCGCTTTGCATTTCACTGAGCTCCTAGTTATGTGTTATTTCGTTTGTTCATCACTATAGTTCTTTGATATGGCAGTTTAGGTATCCTTATTCTATCGAGTTAAGCTTCTAAGCTTAAAGACCAGTTTACCTGGGTCACAAAGCTAGTGAGTGGCAGAATAATACTCAAACTTAAGTCATCTGGCTCCAGATCCTCTGTGCTTTCCATTATACTATTTGAAACTATTCCTCTTCTTAACTACAGTTGAGGCCTACGGTCTGCCATTCATTTAGTAAAGTTATGAAATATATTTACTTGTATACATTAGGTGCAGAAGGTTACATTCTAATCAAAGGGTGAGTTTGGGGCGCCAAAAATAAACATTGCACTGTGGGAGGGAGTGAGGAGGAAAGCCTTAGTTTAAATAGACCATTTAGAGTATGTCTCTTTGAGCAGATAATGCATGAGCTGATGCATGAAGGAGATAGCCAATGAAAATCTGGGGCAATCCAGGTAGACGGAACAAGAGCCAAAGCCCTGAGCTTGACCATCTTTGAGGGACAGCAAGAAGGCCATTAAAGCTGTAGCATTAGCTAGCAGTGGGGAGCACTGTAGGGGATTAGGTTGGAGAAATAGGTAGGGTCTTGCAGGATGCAGAAAGGAATTTGTATTTTATTCTAAGTGCAATGAGGAGTCAATAGAGTGTTTTAAGTAGAGGAGAGAAATCTAACTTTGGTTTTATAAAGATGACTGGCTACTGGTGGAGAATGAATGGGAGACCAGATAACAAGAAGGGGAGCAGAAAAATCAGTTAGGAGGCTGTTGTATCACTGCATACTGGTTTAAGTTAGGGTGTTATCTGTGGACATGGAATGGGACAGATGAATTTGGGATATTGCATTTTGTAATTACTGCTCACAGTATTTGCTGACGAAGTAGATGTGAAAGTAAGGAGAAAGAAGAATCACAGATAACTTTACAATATTTTCAGCCTGAGTTACTGAAGGGTTGATCTTTGCACTAATTGAGCTTAGGAAGGTTAGGAAAAGGAACAGGTTTGGGAGGTGGGGAGATTAAGAGTTCTGTTTTGAACGTGCTAAGTTTGAATATAAAAGTGGTGGAGACATAATCGCTTTGCCTGGAATAGCAGTTGTCAACGTATGATTTGCAGACCCTTTCAGGTCCCTGAGACCCTCTCAGGAGGTCCATGAGGTCAAAACTATTTTCATAATAATACTAAGTCATTACTTGCTATTTTTCATTTTCTGCTGTTTTCATTGCAATCGTGATCAAATGGCTGACACCTTAGCACAAAGCAAGGCAGTGGCACCAAACTGTAGGACTAGCCATTGTATTCTTACTGCTACACATTCAGAGTTAAAAAAAAAAAGAAAAAGAGAGTTTCAGTAAAGAATGTGATTGATGAAGCAGTAAGAAGTAAGAATTATATTGTCATAGTTTAACCATTGAGCATATTTTTTTTTGTGTTGGTTTATTTTATTATTATTCAATGTCAGGATTTCCAAAGGGATTTCTATATTCAGCCCTCAAATTCTTTCATTCCAAAGAGTAGGACAGCAACAAGAGTATGCTTCATTTTAATATTCTCTATGAGAAAATGAGAAGTATGCACAAAGCACTTCTACAATTGTTGTCTTAAGGAAATACACTTGTGAGATTGAGTTGTGAGCTGAACTAGCCTCTTTCATAGAAAAACTTTTTTTTATTGAAAGAACAACTGGCATATTAGGTTATTCACATTTGGGAATTTGGCAGAAGACAAAAATGAAAACTAGAATATCATTTCATTTAGTGCCTAGAGGAAGAAGGAAGGACATTATTTTTTTCACATTTGTATAAATGAAAATTTTTTGTCTTGGTTATAGGAATAAGAAACCAGTCAATTACTCACAGTTCGAGGACTCCAATAGTGATGGTACGTAGAGATTCTTATTTTTGTTTTAAAGATTTCGAAATTGTTTCCTCAGAAATGTAAATGATATATTGTGTGTGTGTGTGTGTGTGTGTGTGTGTGTGTGTGTGTGTACACATCTCAAATGTTGAACATGCTACCAAATTGCATATGACGTAGGTCAAGAGAATTAATTTTAAGCATTTGGGATAATTATGCTGATAATTACACTGACAAGAATTATGTAGGTGAGATGGGAGGGACAGGTAAAGTAAGTCTTTAGGTCCCTGTACCTCAAAGTGAGATTTGACTCTTTTGCAGGAGACTGCTTTTTTTTTCTTTTTCTTTTTTTCTTTTTCTGTTTTTTTTTTTTTTTTGAGGCACAAATGCGTTACAGAATATAATGTGAAACCCCCATTAATTGTACAATAAAACAAGACCTTAAAAAAAGGTTAGGCTTAAGTTATACGTATTTAGTTACATGTTTACTGGTCTCTGCTATTAAGGGAACTTTGGTCAAAAAGTTTGAGAAATAAGGAGTTAGATTACATTGTCTTTGAAATAGGTTTTGTATTTCTCAGACCGCCAAAAGGTTTTTTTGAGTCAAATACTTAGTACCCCTGAGGTTTGAAGGAATGCTGTTTTGTCTTGGGCACAGCCTTAAGTGGGTATAAGACTTAGGAGAAAATAATACGGAATATAATTTGTAGCTTTTTATCATTGTCATCAATCTCACAACAAATATTTATAAAGTACCAGTCATGTTCTAGACATTATGGGATATAGGTGGAGACCTGTCACAGGTATTATATTCCTATATGGGGAAGCATAATACATATAACATGTATTAATAAATGCTAACATATGTGGTCAAGACTACATGTACCCTAAAAGTATTTTTACATGTGTCATATGTGAGTTTAAAAGCTACAGCAGCAATTTTATGTTGAGTGTCAACAGAGATATAGCAGCATATTAGTGAATTGGTTTTTTGGATAGATTGGGATTTTAATAAACGAAGGTCATTAAAACAAAATTAAGAATAAAGACAATATAGCAACAATGTTTTTTAAATTGTGAAAATTTAAGTAATTTGCTTGACCTTATAACTTGCACACTGTAATGAATTTTAACTGCTAAGAGAATAATTTTACTTATTTCTTACTTAGAAAAAGCAATTTTATATATTCTTTTGTTTTTAATTCACACATAAATAGATGATTTTGTTTCTGCAACTGGACCTTTAAATAAGAAATCCAGAACAACACCAAAGGAGTTAAAACTAGAAAAACCAAAACCTAAATTAAAAAATCTCCAAAAAGAAGACACCCTATTACAAGAGAAAACTCCTAAAAAAAGGTGAGAGGTAAGACATACAGTAAATATATGACATTGTATGTTAATTTAAAAGACAAACAGCACTGGCTGGATGGCTCAGTCGATTGGAGCATCATCCCTTACTTACACCAGCTAGTTTGCTGGTTTGATTCCTGGCCAAGACACATACCTAGGTTGTGGGTTTGACCCCTGGTCAGGGTATGAACAGGAGGCAACCAATGGATGTTGCTCTCTCTTTCTCTCTCATTCTCCCTCCTTTCCCTCCATCTCCCCCTTCCTTTCTCTCTTAAAAAAAAAAATCAATAAACATATCCTCTGGTGAGTATTAAAAATTAATTAATTAACTAATTAAAAAAGAAACAGATTTGGACTTTTGGTTTAAATGTGAGCTTGAGTAGAGTCATGGGTGTGATTTTATTTAGTGCTTATAAGAGAACGGGGTTGTACCATTAATCCCCTTTTGGCTTCAAAAAGAAATTCACAAACATGTAAGGAAATATCCATTTAAATATTAAGACAATTATACTTACAGAGTTTTAAAACTATAGCTTACTTTTACAGGCCTCTGTACCTGTCTCTCTGAACCCCTCAAGTCTTATAAAAGTACAGTTTTCTTAAAAATTACATTTGTAAGAACAGTTTAATAACATTTAAAAATGTGTGTTTTCTGCAAATAAGATATTTTCTCTTTATATTGTTAAGACATGTCCAGCAGTGAGAAAATTCTGCAGTTTCTAGACTGACCCTGGAATTCCATCAGTTAGCAGCAAGAGAGAAGACAGGGTGAGAGAGGTCCTGAGAGGCCCAAAAGTTGCAGTATGCAGAGGAGATGGGCAGGAGGGGAGTATTAACAAATGGAACATGGAGCACGTGATGGTTTTACTGCTACAAGTTTGAGAAAAGTTAATTAGCAATAAGACACTGCCCTGGCTGGTGTGCCTCAGTGGACTGAGAGTCCGCCTGCAGACTGAAAGGTTGGCGGTTTGATTCCTGGTCAGGGCACAGGCCTGGGTTGTGGCCCTGGTCCTCAGCTGGGGGCGTGCGAGAGGCAACCGATCACTGTATCTCTTGCGCATTGATGTTTCTCTCCCTCTCTTTCTTCCTTCCTCTTCTCTAAAAATAAATAAATATTTTTTTTAAAAAAAAACAAAGACACTTAGCTCATGTCATTCTCTATTTTTTCTCTGTTTTATTTCTGTTTTTGAGCTTCTTGGACAACTTTTTAAGTATAGTGAAAAAAAACAACCCACAAATGGGAGAAAATATTTGCAAATCTTGTAATTGATGAGGGGCTTATATTTAGAATATTTAAAGAACTCTTACAACTCAACAACAAAAAAGATTAATAACCCAATTTAAAAATAGGGCAAAAGATTTGAGTAGACATTTCTCCAGAAAAAGATACGCAAATGGCCAATAAGCACATGAAAAGATGCCCAAATCCTTAGCCATCAGGGAAATGCAAATCAATACCACAGTGAGATAATATGTCATATCCATTAGGACAGCCATAATAAGAAAAGACAGTAACAAGTGTTAAGAAGGATAGGGAGGAATTAGAACCTTCATACATTGTTGCTGGGAATGTAAAATGGTACAACTACATTGGAAGACAAAGTAGTAGTTCTTCAAAATGTTAAACACAGAGTTGTATGACCCAGCCTAGATATATGAGGGGGGACCCCAAAAAACCTGGAATTATCTTCTGAAGGGCAGGCCACTTGTAGTATAGGCTTCCCCTGCTAGGTGAGTGTTCTAGAAACCCATCTATATCGGTGTACCAGCTGGTGTTGTTGTGCATTTGGCTTCAGTGAATTTTTTTTTGTGAAGACTCTTGATGTGTTTGCCCATTTCAAGATGGATGATTTATGAGCTCACTTGCCCGTGTCATGCTGAGTGTTCAGCAGTTTTTGACCCAGAACAACATGACCCCCATGCCCTGCCCTTCCTATTCACCTGATCTTGTCCCAAGCGATTTTTTTTGTTTGTTTGTTTCCCTGGATGAAGAAAGTCCTCAAAGAGAAACGTTTGCCAATGTGGAAGAGGTAAAACAAAAAATGGCAGAAGCATTAAAAGGCATGAAAATTGAAGAGTTCAAAAACTGTTCTGAGCAATGAAAAAAACATCTCTATAGTGTATTACATCAAATTGGGAGTACTTTGAAGGTGACTGACGTTTAAACATGTAAGAATAAATACACAATTTTTTATAAATAAGTTCTGGTTTTGTCCCTCCTTGTATACCCAAGAAAAATGAAAACCCATGTCCACACAAAAACCTGTATGTGAATATAGCAGCATTATTCAGAATAGCTACAAAATGGAAGCAATCCAAACGGCTGTCAACTGATGAAAAGGCAACATGGCATATCCATACAGTGGAATATTATTTAGCAACAAAAATACATGAAGTTCTGATATATACTACAGCATGGATGAACCTTGAAAATATGCTGATAGGAAGAATCTAGGTACAAAAGGCCACATATTTTATGATTGCATTAATGCAAAGTGTCCACAATAATCAAGTCCATAGGAAGAGAAAGTAGATTAGTGGTTGCCAGATGCTGGGTAGTGGTAAATGAGGAGTAAATAGTAATGGATCCAGATCTTCTCTTTTGGGGTGATAAAAAAGTTGTGATGATTTCAAAGCTCTGAATATTCTAAAAACTGCTGAATTGTGCACTTTAAAAGGATAAATTTTATACTATGTGAATTATATCAATAAAGTTGCTATTTTTTTCCTGTATATTACCACACCCAGTCTCCTTTATTTTTTTCATTTTCATTGAATTTATTGGGGTGACACTGGCTAACAAAATTATACAGATTTCAGATGCATAATTCTACAACACGTCATCTGTTCAATGTATTGTATGTTCACCACCCCAAGTCAACTTTTCATCCATCACCATTTATCCCCCCCATACCCTCCTTCATCATTGCCCCTTCCTGCACTCTACTTCAGCAATCACCATACTGCTCACCTTGTCCATGAGTTTTTTTCTTTTCTTTTTTGCTCAATCCCTCCACCCCCAAACACAGTCCCCCCTTCCCTGACAGCTGTCAGCATGCTCTCTATAAGACCATCTATTTTGCTTTAGTACAGTTCATTAGATTCCACATATGAGTGAAATCGTATGATATTGGTCTTTCTATGACTGGCTTATTTCCCTTAGCATAATATTCTCAGGTAACATATATGCTGTTGTGAAGGATAAGATTTCCTCCTCCTTTATAGTCAACTAGTGTTCCATTGTGTACATGTAGCACAGCTTTTTATCCACTCATCTACAAATGGACACTTGGGCTGCTTCCGAATCTCGGCTACTTTAAATAACACTGCAATGAACAAAGAGGCGCATATATTCTTTTCGAAATAGCATTTTGGAACTATTAATAAATTCCTAGAAGTGGTATCTTGAGTCACAAGGCAGTTCCTATTTCAATTTTTTGAGATAACTCCATACTGCTTCCCATAGTGGCTGTACCAATCTGCATTCCCGCACCAGTGCACAAATGTTCCCTTTTCTCCACATCTTCACCGACACTTGTTGTTTGTTGATTTATTGATGATTGTCATTCTTACAGGTGTGAGCTGATATCTTAACGTGGTTTTAATTTGCATTTCTCTGATGATAGTGACATTGAATATCTTTTCATGTCTCTATTGGCCATCTGTATGTCCTCTTTGTAGAAGTGTCTATTCAGGTCTTTAGCCCATCTTTTAATTGGATTATTTGTTTTCTGAGTTGTATAAGTTCTTTATAAATTTTGGATATTAACTTCTTATCAGATGTATATTGATGAATATGTTCTCCCATTCAGTGGGTTGTTTTTTCATTTTCTTGATTTCCTTTGCTGTGCAAAAATATTTTAGTTTGATGTAGTCCCATTTGTTTATTTTTTCTTTTGTTTTCCTTGCCCAAGGAGATATATCAGGAAAAAAAATATTGCTATGAGATATGTCTGAGACTTTACTGCCTGTGTTTTCTTCTAGGATTTTTTATGGTTTCAAGTCTAACATTTACGTCTTTAATACTTTTTGAGTTCATTTTTGTGTTTGATATAAGAAAGTGGTCTAGTTTTATTTTTTTGCATGTTATCTGTCCTATGTTTCCAACACCATTTATTGAATAGACTGTTTTTACTTCATTGTATGTTTTTGCTGTCCTGTCAAATATTAATTGACCATAAAATCATGTGTTTCTATGCTGTCTGTTCTGTTCCATTGATCTGTATGTCTGTTTTTATGACAGTAAAAGTAAGAAACTAAATCATTCAAGGTACATTTTAGAATTTCCTCCTTTTTGCAACCTTTCCTTATCTGTTTTTGATTCCCTCTTACATACCATAGCTCTTTTCACCACCTTGAATAGGAGTCTTAATTTCTTTTTGTGGGATGAGTATGTCCTACCCTCCTCAGTAGTTGAAGACTCGATAGTATTTTTGTATCCTATCTAATGCAGCATCTCATACACAGTAAGTACCTAGTGAAATGTTTGTTAAAGTCTAGATTGGGAGGAGCAAATGTAAAAGTTTTTTAAATTAAATATAAGACCTATGATAGCTGTCTGAGGAGGTGTGGGTGAAATCAAGGATGGTTTCTAAGTGGAGGTCATCTTTGAGCCAAGTCTTTATTCTAGGTTGAGCAGGTGCTTCCCACCTGGGTGGAACTGGTGGTAGGGACAAACATTACAGTGAAGGGAATAGTAAGTGCATCAACACATGCTGCTCCTGTTTCAAATCTCTTACACTAGATGTAACATGACATTGTGACATTATAGAAGTCATACTCAAAGGTCAAAACTGATTATGATGATTGTTTAACATTTTCATGAGGTTAGCAACTCTTAAATGGTAATTCGGGAAATTCTCAAATTTTTCTGTTTAATTAGATTGAACATTTAAAAAACTCATTATTATTTGTATGTCTACACTAGGATCGCTTTAGATGACAAGCTCTACCAGAGAGACTTAGAGGTTGCGCTGGCATTATCAGTGAAGGAACTTCCAACAGTAACCATTGATTTGGAGGAGTCTCAAGGTAAAAGTAACTATTTTCTATGTATTTATCTCTATAACCTTCTCATTGATTTTGTAATCATTTCTTTGGATGAGTCTTCACAGAGGAAAAAATAATATTTTAATACTTTGGACTATAAAGAGTGCAATTTGCAGAGAGTATAATTAGATTTAGTTGTTTATGCTGTTGCCCAAATCTCAAACATACATATATACATATATACATACAACTCTGTTTAACACCCAAAGTAAACTTGAGGTGGACTATGAGCTTAGATGTTCAAATTACATCCTTATATACAATGAAAATTTCATTTTTTTTGATCAAATGAATTGATCTATACAATCCTAACAATCTACCTCTTTCTCTCAAAATTCAAATTAGTTAAATATGACCTAATGGTAATTTTTATTATTTACAAAGGTCAAAGGTATTAATGTAGCTAGCAAGCTCAGTAGACTTAAGGAATCTATAGTTTCTGGATATCTCTGTATTTTTCTCCTTTGATTTTTCTGGCAGCTGTCACAGATGCCAATATTGATATTCTGGGGAGGAAGAAGTCATTACTGCTGGAAAACACTTTGAATTCTAAAATGCTTCTTTTAAAACGTTATATTTTATTAATTCTGCTATTACAGTTATCCCAGTTGTTCCCTTTCCCTCCCTGTAGCCTCTCTGCTCCCCCGCACAACCCCATTCCCTCAGACAATCCACACGCCGTAGTCCATGTCCATGGGTCATTCATATTTGCTCTTTGGCTACTTTGTTTCCTGTGCTGTACTTTTACCTCCCCATGACTATTCTGTAACTACCAATTTGTACTTCTTAATCCCTTCACCTTTATTGCCTATCCTGCCACCCTCTCCCTTCTGGCTAACATCAAAATTTTCTCTGAATCTATGATCCTGTTTCTGTTCAGCTTGTTTATTTTGGTTTTCAGATTCAATTGTTGTTAGATATATATTTGTTGCCATTTTATTCTTCATAGTTTTTATATTCTTAAGGAAAACCCTTTAATAGTTCATGTAATGCTGGTTTGTTGGTGAAGTACTCCTTTAGCGTTTTCTTGTCTGGGAAGCTTTTTATCTGTTCTTTGATTCTAAATGATAGGTCTGCTGGGTAGAGTAATCTTGGTTGTAGGTCCTTGTCTTTCATGATTTTTTGAATATTCCTTTCCAGCCTCTTCTAGCCTGTAAAGTTTCTTTTGAGACATCTGCTGACAGTCTTATGGGACTCTCTTGTAGGTAACTAACTTCTTTTCTCTTGCTGTTTTTAAGAATTTCTCTTTGTATTTGACCTTTGGTATTTTAATTATGATGTGTCTTGCAGTGGGCCTCTTTGCATCCACCTTGTTTGGGAGTCTCTGTGCTTCCTAGATTTGCATGTCTGTTTCCTTCACCAAGTTAGGGAAGTTTTCTTTCATTATTTTTTCAAATAGACTTCCAATTTCTTGCTCTTTCCCTTCTTCTTCTGGCACCCTATTATGCGAATGTTGGAAGGCTTGAAGTTGTCCCAGAGGCTCCTTACACTATCCTCATTTTTCTGCATTCTTTTTCCAGTTAGCAATAATTGCACCTCAGATAAAACTCATTGCATATGATACAGCCACTGTGCAAAGCCAGATCATTTTTTCTTCCTGTTCTGGTTGGGTGTTTTCTGTTTTCTTATATTCCAAATTGTTGATTTTATTCTCAGTTTCATGTGCTCTACGGTTGATTCCCTGTAAACTATTCTTTATTTTAATTAGTGTATCCTTCGTTCGTGGCTGTTTCTTTTATGAATTCCATGCCCTTTTTTATGCTGTTGAAGTTCTTACTAAGTTCACTGAACAGTCTTATAACCACTGTTTTGAACAATGCGTATAGTAGCTTGTCTTCTATTTCTTGGAGTTTTGTTCTGTTCTTTCATTTGGGCCATATTTCTTTGTCTTCTCATTTTGGAAGCCTCTCTGTGTTTCTTTCTATGTATTAGATAGAGCTGCTATGTATCCCAGGCTTGGCAGACTGGCCTAACAATGTAGAAGGGGTCCCATGGGGTTCAGTGGCACAGCTTCCGCTATTACCCAAGCTGGGTATTTGAAGTGTGCCCACTGAATGGGCTATGTACACCCTCCTATTATAGTTGAGCCTTGATTGCTGTTGGCACATCCAAGGTCAGCCACCACCTCTGTTCTGTCTGGGTTCACACAGCATAAGCTACGAAGTGATTTGCAGATGGCTGCTACTTTTGAAATCGGAAAAGCCAGTGTTCGTGCTGCCTGTCACTTACCAGACCTAATAAGCAGACACAGGGATTGAATGTTTATGGGCCCTTTATTCAGATGGCCAGGATCTGAGAAGACGGTAGGTTTGTAATTAATATACTAACAGACCATCTTAAATTCCATTTTAAGCTGACCCTTTTTTAAAGGAAAAGTATAGGTAAGGGGTTTGGAATTCAGGGGAAAAGTTAATCAGATAAAATCTGCAGCATTCTTTCATCTGTGTCCTTGGCTGCATTCCCTCACCTGTGTTCTGGGCCATGATCTTGATCTGTGTCCTGGGAAGTGGGCGTCTTACCCTGGAGCACAATGGCTCAGATGCCATCTCCATTGCTTGCAGCCCTCCTGAGGCACAAAGGTAGAACTGCTGTGGTCTCCTGGAGTCAAGGTGGATCATACCTCCAGTTCCTAAAACAATAGCTTTTTATATACATTGGTTACTAAGCTTATTAACTATTACCTGAAACTAAAATTTTTCCAACATTTGAGTCCCTCATCATGCCCCCACTGCTAGTTTAAACTATCTTATTTCTATGAGATCAGTTTCATATGGAAGTACTCATTTTGTTGTTGAGCACTTATCTTAGCATTAGACTGTCTGGTAGGGGGCTTAGGAATACATTTAATTGCAGATCCACATAAGGGAGCTCATTGTATGCAACAACAAGCTATGATGAAGCACAGAACAATTTTAAGCACAATTGTTAAGAAGTTGCACACTCTCCAGCTTGGGCAACATTAGTGACTTTTAAGGAGAAGATTTCCTTGTCCTTTAGAATTACCACAGGCTCCCAATTATAAATATCAGAGTAGGTCATTTCCTTATTGATATGCTTAAACACAGTATAATTTCCAAGGCTTTCCAGAGAAGTACGAACTCCTATAAAACATGTATTGAAAGTTTGTTTAACATAAGTTCCTCCTGCAAGACAAAATTCAGAGATGTTTAAAACATTTTTGCTAAATATATCCAAATATTTTTATCTCATTTGAAAGGAACAGGTTCTCTATAACATAGGATTAAACAAAAACATAAGTCATTGTTTTCGAAAGATGACTTTCAGGTCCTGAGGTTCGGCAGTCCATTGTTTGTCCAGTGATTTCTTTACTCTGGTGTGATGAATCCAAGGTTTTAGTTCTGCCAACTTCACCATGGTGGGTGTGGTGAGGAGTACGTCCCAAGGTTAAGTCCACCTTTCTTCTAGTTGGCTTACTGGAGATGCTGTTGTCCAAGTCTTGAGTAGCACCTTATCTCCAGGCTCAAAGGAGTGTAGTGAACCTGTAAGGGAGAGGTCTCTAATATAAGCAAGATCATTAATTACAGCCAAGGTCTGACTTAAATGTACATTTTCTTTACCTTTACTTCTTGATCTGTATACATATATCCCACTTCAAGGAGCCACCCTTATCCAGAGCAGAGCAATAGGTAAAACTTAATCCCAGTGGACACGAGTTTCTTGGCACAGTTTGGCTTTATTTTTCTTCAAGATGTGATTCATTTTTTCTACCTTCCTAGAAGCCTGAGGTCTCTGTGCCATGTGGAGTCTCTACTTGATTCCTAAAAATTTACTAACCTGTGTAATTTCTGAAACAAAAGCAGGTCCATTATCGCTCTGGATGCTGCTGGGTAGGCCAAAGTAAGGAATTATTTTCTTCATTAAGTCTTTCAGCTATCTCAAGGATTTATCCATTCTAGTAGATAGGCTTTTACCCATCCTGAAAAAGTTTTGACAAAGACCAGCAAATATTTCCACCCATGGATCCTTGGCATCTGGGTAAAGTCTATTTGCCAGTCCTCAAATGGGTTCTGTCCTTGGTATATTTTCCCTTCTTTCTTTTGGTGGGGATCTGTCTTGGGGTTGTCCTTCTGGCACATACCACATCTAGCAATTATTTTTGTATTGCTTTGGAAATTCTAGGACCTGTGATCCACAGTTTAATATGCACGGTTAATGAGTCCCTTACATAGTGAGCGGCCTCATGCAAATGCTACATGACTGACTCTACTTAATGTTCAGAAAGCAGTGTTGACTCCTTTCTTACTCTTTCTCTATCCACTGTCAGCTTCTTAAAAACCCCAGCTCTCAGCTTTCTCTTACGTCTGCGGTCAAGTATTCAGTGTCAAATTGTGATGAGTCTAGAACAGGTATCAAAGGCATTATAAACTTTCCCTTAGCAGCCTCTTTTCCTGCTTGATCAGCCAGATTGTTTCCTCTAGCTACTTCAGTGTTCTCTTTCTGATGCCCTGGGCAATGTATAACTGCCACCTGTAAAGGTACCTGGACGGCCTCTAATAATTATAAAATTTCTGCTACATGCTTAATCTCCTTTTTATTGGAGGCTAACAGTTCTTTTTCATTCCAGATGGAATCATGTAATTGCAAAATTAGGAAAGCTTACTTTGAGTCAGTGTACACATTCACTCTCTTTTCGTGTGACAATTCCAGTGCCCTTGTCAATGTAATCAGTTCAGCTTTCTGAGCAGAGGTCCCTGCAAGCACGGCCTTGACCTCTACTATTCCTTCAAGAATCACAGCTGCATACCCAGCCTTTCTGTTTCCTATGTCCATATAACTCCTTCCATCTGCATGTAGAGTCCAGTCTCCCTCTTTTAGAAGATGGCCCTGTAAATCAATTCTGCTAGAATAAGCTTCTTCAGTTATCTCAGTGCAGTCATCTATTAGCGCAGCGGAGTTAGGCTCCAGGAGAAGGGAGGCAGGATTTAACTTACTTACAGTTCTGAGGGAGACGTTGGGATTGTCAGGAAGAATGGCTTGGCAACTGCCCCTTCTTTCAGCGGTGGGCCACAAATTTCCCTTTTGCTCCTGCAGGCTCAACACTTGCAGGGGTGCATAAATAGTGATAGGCTGTCCCAATGAAAACTTTCAGCTTCCTTTAAGAGCTCACAGGTGGCTGCTATAGCTCTCAAGCAGGCTGGCCACCCCTAGACAGTATGATCTAGTTTCCTTGACAAGCATGTGAAGGGTTGCGAAATGTCACTAAGCATTTGGGTTAGGACTCCTAGGGCAATGCCCTGTCTTTCAGAACATGCAATTGAGAGGGCTGTGGTAGGTTTGGAAGCCCCAAGGCTGGTGCAGAAGCCAGGTGCGCCTTCAGGGACTCAAAAGCCTGAGTGCACTCCTTTGTGCATTCTAAAGGGATATATTCTGGTCTTTTCAGAGTTTTTCCCGTTTAACAGATCTGATGTAGAGAATGGAGTATGTGCCCATAATATCCAGCAGGCTGGCCCTCTGGCCCTGCTCCTACTGGAAGTTTTTGCAAGGGTATTGCCCTGTCCTGGCAGGGGCTTTTTCTTCACCAAATTTGGTTCCCTGATGGGCTCAGCACAACGGAAACAGTTCAGGCTCTCTTTCCCCAGTTCCCTCAGCCAAGCAAGGAGGAAGGTCCCCCAGGGCTGGAGGGGCCCTGGGAACCCTGACTGTGCTCACAGCAGCCGTAATTTCTAGATCTTCCTGGGCCCTCTCTTCTGAGCTTCTGCTGTCTTTCCCAGGCAAATTTCCTTTTTCTCTGGACAATTAATCTATTTCCCTTTAATCCTGCATCCTCATTGTGTAAACTCACAAAAGTTTCTAGGTAAGGCATTTTGCCCCACTTCGACAATCTTTGACAGAACAACTCTAGTTACAGTTTAATACAGTAATTTAAAGACGCATTCAGCAGCTAGCACTCCCCTGAGTCTAGATTATACATACATAAGCCAAACAGTATTACAATAAAAACCACTTTCTTTTTAGTCATAGGTTTATAAGCATATTTCCTGAAATGGAGGCTTTTCCCGCATTTTACCAGACAAAGCTCTGTAATGTTACAAAAACCAGAAGGCACCTTAATTAAACCAGAAGGCATCTGAATTCCTGATGATCTAAGCTGTGACCCCGGATTGTAATCTGAACCAGAAAGTGCAGTGATTCAATCAAAAAGTGAATACAACAGGAGGTGCTGAGAGTAGGATAAGGAGAGTCCCCAAGTAAAATCACTTGGCAGCTGCTAGGGAGTCTCCACATCTGCCCCCAGGGCCCCCGCGTCCAGGCAGTCAGTCAATGGGACTCCCTGCCAAATACCCAGACTTACCGGAGAGTTCCAAAGTCTGTTATAGCGAGGAGTCACCAGAATACGAAACCGGAAAAGTCAGTGTTTGTGCTGCCTGTCACCTACCAGACTCAATAAGCAGAGGCAGGGATTGAATCTTTATGGGCGCTTTATTCAGGTGGCCGGGATCTGAGAAGATGGTGGGTTTGTACCCTAACAGACCATCTTAAATTCCATTTTAAGCTGACCCTTTTTTTAAGGAGAAGAAAATTGTAGGTAAGGGAATTGGAATTCAGGGAAAAAGTTGATGAGATAAAAACCTGCAGCATTCTCTCACCTGTGTCCTGGACTGCATTCTCTCAGTTGTATCCTGGGCCATGGTCTTGACCAATTGTCCTGGACGGTGGTCTTTACCTGTTCCCTGGGCAGTGGGCATCTCTCCCTGCAGCACAATGGCTCACATACCATCTCAATTGCTTGCAGCCCACCTGAGGCACAAAGGTGGAACTGCTTGTAATTTTTGATGTGGTTGTGCAAGGAAGTGAGCTGTGTTTACCTACACCTCCATCTTAAAATGCTTTGTGGATTAAATTGTTTTGATTTAACTTCCCTTATGTTGGAGGATATTTTTAGCTCATTAGTTTATGTATGGGTATAGATTTTTTTAAATCAGTATTGCCTACTATATGAAAATAAATGAGACAGTGTTGTTTAGGGTGCCTTTTAGTAATCAGGAATCAAAGAAACTTAAAAAAGTGAATTGTTATATATCAAAATTAAAAAAGTGAAATTCAGCTTTTCTCCTATAAGAGATTGTAGACTGTATAGCAGGATTTTCTTGGAAGTACAACTTGTCATAGAATAATATACTTTATAGCTGGGATTTTTGTTTCCCTTTCTTTTTGTAAAAGAAAGGAGGGGGGAAGAAGGGAAGGAAGGAAGCTATAGCTGGGATTTAACAGCACAAGTTATCATAACCTAAGTTGTCTTAAAGTACTTTAGATCATTTTAGGGTTATTATAATGGGTTATTATAATAGGGTTATAATAGGGTTATTATAAATTTCTTTCCTACATAGAGACAACAGTTAATAGTTATTGACTGTTTCCTTTGTACTAGGCACTACAATATGCAATTTCCACTTATGACTGATGTTTAGTCCCCCACAATAACCTCATTTAAACTCCACATTATTTTTATCTCCATATTATAGGTGAGGAGAAGATAAGCAACTTTCCTTTGGTCACATAGCCAATTTAAGTGTTAGAGCCTAAATTTGAACTTTAATTTAATTAACTCTGGTTTCAGACCCCAAATGCCTAACACTATAATAGCCTCTCCAAGTAAAGTGCTAGTTTGAGCTTGGATCATTTCTATATATATCTGCACGCTATTACACTTAGCACTACTCTTCCTATTTCTAGACATTGGTTGATTAAGGTATCTTTTTTTTTTCGTACATCTTCATTATATTTAGGCAATGAAAAACGTGGCAATAGTGAAACAGAAATGATGGATAAGCCTCCCCATATCTCCAATTGCAGTGTAGCCAGTGATTATTTAGGTAAGTTTTTTATAGTAATAATAATATCTATTTATTACAACAGTGCTATTTTTCTAACTTGTATTTAAATTCCAGCAACTGTAGCTAGAATCAGGATTCTTAATTTTGTCAAGGTTCTCTTAACCTCTCTTCTTTGTTTCTCTCTGTTTTGGCTTTCTTTTTTACTGTAGACCCAATTTGTTTCCTGGTGAAGGTCAGAAGTACCCATGGCCTCTAATCAGTAGCAGCTGACCCCTGAAGAAAGGGGCTGTATCTCCCCAGCTCTAGTATGAAAATTCTTGGAGAAAGATTCTCTCATTTTGGGACATAGACTTATTCTTAAACCAGACAGTGTTGCCAGGAGACAGATGTATTATAATTGGCCCAGATTGGGCTCTGTGGCGTATCACTAGAAGCAGGGGGAAGATGAAGCTGGGCAAATAAAAACAACAAATGTAATAGGAGTCTACTCTCAGTTCTTTAAATATTACCATCACAAAAAGTGTTCCATTGAATTTTATGCCTCCCCTGAAGATCTGGACAAGATTACTGAGGAAGATGATTCCCGTGGTGCTCAAGGGAAAAGAAAAGCAGCATCTAAAGCGCTGGTACAGCAGAGAAGGATTCTTCTGGAGGGCAGTGATGGTGACAGTGCTCATGGCTCCGAACCAGACTTTGAAACTGGTAAGTTTTATCCTACCTCAAAATTAATTTTATGGAAATTCAGTAAAAAGTTCTTGGAGACCATTAATATATGCAAAGCGCTGTGTTAAATGCTACTTGAGGAATACACAGGACAGTTAAATTCAACTATAGCATTTGGGGGAAAAGCTTTATCTGGAGGTGACCTGTAAGCCATGCGTTGAAAAATGAGTAACATTTAAGCAAACTATAGGGGTAAAATCGCATTTCTGTCTGATAGGCATAAACAGTGAGGCCTGCAGGGAAGAACGTTGTAGAAAAGGCTTGAGAGGCAGGCAGGCAGGCACTGGATCATGGAGTGTCTCAGACCCATTCTAAGAAGTGTACACTTTTTTCTGTGAGTAATAGAAATTCATGAAATAATTTGGATAGAAGTGATATGAAATCTGTATTTTATTATGATAGTTGTTTTCAGACTCATTCAGAAATTAGGGTAAATGGGAGGCATAGTGACCTTGACAGTATATTATGACCTATTAATTAAAAATTAAAATGAATAATTCCGTAAATTTATCCCAAATCAGATGCTATGTTTTGATAGATATTAATGTGCTATTGACAAACAATAACAGATTTGTTCATCAACATTTATTCCACAAATATTTGAGAACCAATTATGTGTACTATATTCTAAACATTAGGGATACAGCAGTGAATAAAACAGAGATCCCCTAAGGAGCTTAAATTTGAGTGAGGGGACTTGGACAAGAATCAAATATGGTAAGTTCTCCCTTAAAGCAAGATGATGTACAAAAAAAACCCAATTTTACCATAGACTAACTGATACAAATGAGAGTTAAGTTTCTACAGCATCTCACATTATAACAAAATGACGTTGCACACAAGTAAAATTCTGTTATTTGAGGACCTGCTGTATAAAATATGTCAAGTGTCATCATGGAAGAGCTATGAGGAAGAGGAAAGCCGAGAAGAGCCCAGAAGTCTTCCTTTTTAACCAATTCCTGCCCCTCCACATGACAGGTGATCCCAAGGCATAAAAGGAAGAGGGGCGTACCTATCGTCCATGGATCTTACTTTGAGAAGCACTAATATAAGTGGCTCACCAAAAAGTAGAAGCCAGTGAAAGATAATACCCTCAAGAAGCATAGCAGAGCGTGGGCTAAATGCTTGCCGACTTAAGGTTACTTAATACCGAAAAAAAAACCCAAAAACCCAATTTAATCAAAATAACTCCTTGGCAGTTTCAGTGTCTTTTTCAAGGGTAATAATTATAACACACTAGAATGTTATTATCATTATTTGATGAATGCCTGTCAGGAAAATCAGTAAACAATTCTGACATAAATTACAAGACTACTTAGCACACTAATGAAATTAATAAAGGATCAAAATGTTTGCTATGTATATGGAAGTGAAATCACTTGCTTTGCTTGTTGGATTTATGGAATTTGTGGGTTATGTTTCCAGAGGAAGATATTTAAAAAGAGTACCATTATGTTATTTGCATTCCAACTTCAGTTATGAAAATCATGATTTGGATAGCGACTTTAAATTTGTCCCTCTACTCTTAAATATATATATATAAACTTAACTCTTACTTGTATCAGTTAGTCTATGATAAAATTGTACATTTTTTTGTACATCATTTTGCTTTAAGGGAGAACTTACCATATTTGATTATTGTCCATGTCCCCTCAAATTTAAGCTCCTTAAGGGATCTCTGTTTTATTCACGACTGTATCCCTACTGTCTAAAATATAGTGCATATAATAGGTACTCAAATATTTGTGGAATAAATGTTAATGAACCAGTCTGTTATTATTTGTCAATAGCATGTTAAAATCTATATATTTTAATATATATATTTTTCATCTTCACCTGAGGATATATTTATTGATTTGAGAGAGAGAGAGAGAGAAACATTAATGTGGGAGAGAAAACATCCATCCGGAGATTGAACCTGCAACCTGGTATGTGCCCTGACTGGGAATCAAACCTGCGAACTTGGTATATGGGATGATTCTCCAATCAACTGAGCCACCCGGCCAGGGCATCCCTCTGCTCTTAAAAGTAAATAGTTAAGGACTTCAATTGACATTTCTGCAACGGCAATACACAAATGACCAAAAAGCATATGAAAATACGCTCAATATCACTAATCAGTAGAGAAATACAAATCAAAACCACAGTGAGCTTTCACTTCACAGTCATTAGGATGTTAAAAAACAGAAAATAGCAAGTGTTGGTGAGGATGTGGAGAAATTAGAATCCTTGTGCGCTGTTGGTGGGGATGTAAAGTGACACAACTGCTATGCAAAACAGTATGGGGTTACTCAAAAAATAAATAGAACTTTTGTATAATCTAGCATTTCCACATCTGGGTATATATCTAAAAGAATTGAAAGCAGGGTCTCAAATATTTGCACACCCATAGCAGGCTTATTAACAGTAGCCTAGATGTGCAAGCAACCCAAATAACCATTGATGATGAACGCACCAACAAAATGTATGTACGCACAATGGAATATTATTCAGCCTTAAAAAGGAAGGAAATCCTGTTACATGCTACACCTTGGATGAACCCTGAAGACTTTATGTAAATGAAATAAGCCAGTCACTAAAGACAAATACTGTGATTCCACTTACATGAGGTATCTAAATGTCCAATTCATAGAAACAGGAAGTAGAATGGTGACTAGCAGTGACTGGGGAGAAGAAATGGGGAGTTGTTTACTAGGTACTGAATCTCTGTTTTGCAAGATATAAAAGTGCTGGAGGACTGTTGCACAAGATGTGAATATACATAGTTAGCACTACTGATCTGTACACTTAAAAATGGTTAAGATAGTACATTTTATGTTCCAGTTTTTTACCACAATTTTAAAAAATTTTTAAAGGAAATAATCACTTAAAAAAGTAAAAAGCCTGGTTCCAGGTTGTTTTCTTTCTCAAATCTGCATAAGCAAATATTTTTTCAATGAAATAAGAATCATAGTTTTGAGTTCTGTACTGTTGAACAGTGAGTTAGGACGTAGAAAACACGCAAAATAGAAAAGAAAATATTTGTTGAAATATGAGTGCTTCTGAAGTTATGCTGGATATGAGGACTGCAAATAATATTTATAACTGAAAATTATTCTTCCTTAAATTCAAGACCTGTAGTTGTTTGGGGAAAATGTGGTTGTCAAATGGTGATTTTACTGCGAACACTGATAGTAAGTGTTGTTATAACTATAACTAGGACAATACTCACAATGGGAAGCCAATATGATAAAAATTATTTGTCAGTTAATGGAATGTTTGAGTTATTGGATGTTAGACTGGTTAAGACTTTGGGAGAAAATGATGCTAGTGGTTTTTGTAGTAATAGACACTTAAAAATTCTTGGGTTCTGTTTTGCCAGATGCAAAAATTCTGATCTTCTTGCATCACTTGTAGACTAAAATGACTGCTTCTTCTCAAGAGCTTTATAAGCTGATTTTGGGGGGGGTTCCCTATTTCATTTTATGGCTTCCACCAAACTACAATTGCAGCTCTTTTTCCTTTTTAAAACACCTGTGATCCAGCCCTGACAAGCAGGCCTTCAACCCTCACAGGAAGCTAGCTTACTAGCTGAGGGGGTGATAACTGCCATCTAAGCTGTGTTGTGGATATACAACCTAAGCTTTAAGCAAGTTTTTTTCATTGCCTCTCTTAACTTTCTGACTCCTTTTTTGTCCCCCAGCTCAAGAATACAGGAGCCTTACACTATCTTGTAGACCTTAATCTACTCTAGCCAAGCCTGTTTTACCTTAAGTTGAAATACATAGTCCTCCTTGTTTATTTAGTGTACTTTAAGTTGCAATACAATCAGTTTATTTTCATTCACCCTAAGTCTAGAATGACCAACAACTCTCCAAACTCCTCAGAATTGATTTTTATTATACTTGAATGTGCAACTGGTATCATTCAGATAACCAGAAGGGTTTTTTTCTTTTGTTTTTTGGGTTCTTTTTTGAAGGAGCATTCTTTTCTTTAGGTGACAGGTCAGATTATTTCCTCTTGCATTGGCTCACCCTAGATGAAAGTGAAAATTGGAGCGAACATAAGACTTTTCTTGACGACATCTAATGATTTCCAGAATCTATAACCAAAGTGCTGGGCCTTCCATATTTTCTAATCTGATATGCTTATTACTTGGGATTCTGGGATCTACATCTTCCCACCTCCAAATTATTTAACTGCTTTCTCAGTTGACTGATGAAGATCAGTTGGATCCCATCTTTAGATAAGCTTGCTCAGTAGAGTTATACCCAGCTCCTACTCTTTATTCTCTCCAGCCAAGAAAAGAACACATGCAGTACCAGAACTGTTGGATACCCAGAAAGTTTTGTCCTCCTATATTTTACATTCTAAACTTTTGGAGAAACTTCTCCCCTACTTGCCATCCCCCTGAACCTAGATACTCTAGGGACTCCAGCAATAATTGCTTGATTTTGCAAGGTACTATTTATAATGGCCTTTAAGCCATCTGCTGACCTTATATGGTTAATTCTATATAACTCAGTAACCGTTGTGCGAATATGTGAGTTGATTACTCTTATATTTTTAAAAAATTATGTTTTGTGGAAAGAATGATAGAATAAGGAAATTGTACTTTGAAGATCATAATGACCATTGTTAATTTAGGCAAAGATCATCAATGGAAGGCTGATGAGGATCTTTACAGTGGAGAATTCAGGCTGGCCTAAACTGAACCAACAAAGAGCGGGACAACCACATACAGTATGCTTTCTGATATAATATAATACGATATACAGAGTAGCACCTATGAAGTGTATTCTTACAAAAAAATAATAAAAATAAGGTGAGCCTGATTCTTATTGAGTCCTGAGAATATTCCAGCTCATAGAAAATGCAGGAATAAATTAAATGACACCATGAGGAAGAAAATAGACAAATACAGAATGTGGGACATTTTATAGGACAACTGACTTAATTATTTCAACAAGTCAAAAACATGGGGTGACAGGGAGAGGATTTTTGTTTTATAGTAAAAGTGATTAATATGAACTGGATAGAAGATGATGCCAAGAAACTATTATTAACATTGTTAGATATGATAATGACATTGTTTTGCTTTTTCTTTTTTAAGTAATTTTTTATCACACTCATTTTTTTTTTTTAAAGATTTTTATTTATTTTCAGACAAAGGGGAAAGGACGGAGAAGGAGGGAGAGAAATATCAATGTGTGGTCCCCTCTCACACGTCCCCTATGAGGGATCTGGCCTGCAACCCAGGCATGTGCCCTGACTGGGAATTGAACACACTACTCTTTGGTTGGCAGGCTGGCGCTCAATCCACTGAGCCACACCAGCCAGGGCCATTGTTTTGCTTTCTTTAAAAGTCCATGATTTTTAGAGATGCATTCTGAAGTATATAGGAATGTAGTAACGTGATGCCTCAGGTTTAATGTACTCCGAGAAGGGAAGGGAGGAGAAAAGAAGAAAAGGGAGGTAGATAAATACATCAAAATATTGAGGATTGTTGGATAGTTTATTACCTACTGTTATGTATGTTTGAGATTTTTCATATATTTTTGTCTTCTTCTGTAAAATATATTTCACACAGATAGGTAGGCAGATGTTATATACGATGGGCATAACAGTGGTTATCTCTGAGTGGTGAGATCAGGGCATGGACCTTCTTTTTGCTTAACTATCAAGTGTTCTCCATACTTTTTCCAGAACAGCTGTGCCTACTTAACCTTATATCTCTGGCTTAAATCATCCCATGCAGCAGAGAAAAGTTTGTGGGGAATCAGAAGTGTGTCGCAAATGAAATCATAAAGCATTATCTGTTAAGATTGTTGTGGTATGGTTAATCTCTACTCAATTCCCAATGTATTTCTGTTCTAGAATGTTGAAGTTTATGTGATTAAGGGAAGATGTACTGTTATTAATACCATCAAGGTTGTCATTGTAAAAAGGTAGCTAATGTTATATCCTAACATTCTTCTTAAAAGTTACTGAGTTAAACTGGTAAAATCAGAAGTAAAGATTACTAGTGGGAAATCATAACGATAATAGTAAGAGAAAAGAATTCTATTTTGCTTGCTGTATGACAGGTGTTATTCCACATGCTTTACCTATATTAACTCATTTAATCCACACAACAGCCCTGTGATGTAGGTTTTACGATTATCCCCACTTTATACATAGGAAACTGAGACACAGTACAGTGAGCAAGCAACCTGTCAGAGGTCGCACAATATGTAGATGGAGGGGCTAGGATTCAAACTCAGGCACCATGCTCTCCATAACTGCATTGTTTCAAATGGGAAATGGCTAAGCACAATGATAAACAAGAATCTTGGTTGGTGTGAGACTTTTGGTCAAGATGGCAGTGTAGGCAGAAATGGCTCGCCTCTTCATACAACCACATCAAAATTACAGCTAAAATTGTAATTTTGAACAACCATCACTCAGAACTGTCAGAAATGGAGTTGAACGGAAGTCTGACAACTATGGAATTAAATAAACCACATCTATCCAGACTGGTGGTAGGGGCACAGACATAGAAAGGGCTTGTCCCACACTCAAGTGTGGTGGATAAAAATTCAGGAGGTATATCTTGGGAGAGAGGAGTCTCAACCTGACAACAGGCCCCCCAGCCCAGGGTTCCAGTGCCAGGAAGATAATTCCCCACAACTTTTGGCTGAAAAATACAGTGGATATTGAGTTGGTGGAAGAAACTTCTGGAGCCCCAAGCAGTTCCTCTTAAAGAATCAACACACAGACCAACTACTCAAACTCACTCCTTCAGACTTTCAGAGCTCCAGCATCAGGTCAGCAGCTTGAAAGGCACCAGTGGCATACTGGACGAAACTGAAGTGCCTGGCTCAAGGTGAATAGAGGACATTGTCCCTTTTCTAAATCCTCCCCTGCACAGAGCCACCAAGCCAGCAAGCTGGTACCACAATGGAGACTCCATCAACCTGGCTAACACTGTTTGACCTGCCTTGGAGAGGCCCAGAGACTTACCCCACCCAAGCTGCTTTTCCATATGAATGGCTGGTCTTGGCTTATGGTTCACAACTTCCTAAATCCTCTCAAACAAGCAACAGCTGGCCTCAGTGAGCCCTAGGCATGGCACTACAGCGGCCAGCCTAGATTCAGAGTTTGGCTTTGCCTAGGAATCTCCAAGCCCAGCAAAGTAGCAGCCATCTCAGATTGCTTTATAGGTTAGGCAGGGTGGTCCCAGGCAAAACACAGTTGGGGGTTGACTTGGGTGGCCTGTACCACCCAGGGAAACTCCGGGGCCTGCAAACCCAGTAGACAGCTACAAACCACACTGGAACACCACCACCCTGCCCCTGAACATCTGATCCTCCAAGGAGGGCAAAGGTTGGTGGTCAGTGGTTACAGCCAGTTCTTGCAGCTGACTGGCTTGGGTAAATCCTGCCCATTGTCCTGCCAACAGCATACAAGGCTCAACTACAGGAGGAGGGTGTACCTCGAGTACCCAGCTTTGATAATAGGGGAGGCTGTGCCACTGGACCCTATGGGACACCTCCTACATTAGGTCATGCTACCAAGACACAGAGTCAAAACAGCTCTACATAATACCTAGAAACAAACACAGGGAGGCTCCCAAAACAAAGAGGCAAAGAAACATGGCCCAAATGAAAGAACAGACTCAAACTCCAGAAAAAGAACTAAACAAAATGCAGATAAGCAATCTATCACATGCAGAGTGCAAAACACTCAGAAACAAAAGATAAACTGAGTGAAATAAAGAACAATTTACAGGGAAAAAGCAGTAGAGTGGATGAAGCCAAGAATCAAATCAATGATTTAGAACATAAGGAAGCAAAAAACCAATCAGAACAACAAGAAGGAAAAAGAATCCCCCCAAATGAGGATAACATAAGCAGCCTTTGGAACAACTTCAAGCATTTCAACATTCGCATCATACGGATTCCAAAAGGAGAAGAGCAGGAGTAAGAAATTGGAAACCTATTTGGAAAAATAATGAAAGAAAACTTCCCTAATTGGGTAAAGGAGATAAACATGCAAGTCGAGGAAGCACAGAGAGTCCCAAATAAGGTGGATGCAAAGAAGCCCACTCCAACACACATCATAATTAAAATGCCAAAAGTTAAAAATAAAGAGGGAATCTTAAAAGTGGCAAGAGAAAGGAAAAGAAGTCAGTTCCTACAGGGGCATTCCCAAAAGACTGTCAGCTGATTTCCCAGAAGAAACTTTGCAGGCTGGGAGGGGTTGGCAAGAAATATTCAAAGTCATGAAAAACAGGGACCTACAGCCAAGATTGCTCTACCCAGCAAAGCTATCATTTAGAATCGAAGGGCAGATAAAGAGCTCCCTAGACAAGAAAAAACTAAAGGAGTACATCATCACCAAACCATTATTATATGAAATGTTAAAGGGACTTATTTAAGAAAAAAAAGAATGTCAAAACTATGAACAATAAAGTGGCAAAAATACATACCTATCAATGATAGAATCTAAAAAACAAACTAAGCAAACAAGAACAGAGACGGTTCATGGATACGGAGAGGGTTTCGATGGTTGCCAGCTTGAAGTGGGGGTGTGGGGGAATGTGTGAAGAGGTGAGAGGATTAAGAAGTACAAATAGGTAGTTACAGAATAGCCATGGGGATAAAAAGTACAGTATAGGAAATGGAGTAGCCCAAGAACTACATGTATAACCCATGGACATGAACAATGGTGGGGGGTTGCCTGCAAGAGTGTGGGGTGCTGGATGGAGGGGGAAAAGGGGGAAAAGTCAGGACAACTAATAGCATAATCAATAAAATATAATTTCAAAAAAGAATACAATAATTAATAAAAATACAAGAATAAAGAGAAGCTGGTGCAAGACCTGTAGATAAAGTCAAGGCCATAAAAGCCTAACTTTTTATTGCAAAGATAAAGTGTATAATCTTTTGTTTTAGGTGAAGACTCTGAGGATGATTCCGATTTTAGTGAGGGGGAAGATAATGATGAAGACTTCACTGTAAAAAAAAGTAAAGAAATAAAAAAGAAAGAGGTGAAGGTTAAATCCCCAGTTGCAAAGAAAGTGAAGAAACCAAAATCCAAATGTAATGCATTAGGTAAGCTTATTTCAAAAACACTTAACTTTGTAAAGAAAATGTATTTGGTTTATTTAATGGGTTTTTCTTATCTTTGCCTTTGTTCTCCTTAAAAGTTTGCCTGTGTTCATTTCTAGTTAAAATACATAAAAGTAAACAGGGCGGGGGTGGGGAAGGGAGAACAGCAAACAAGACTACTAAGCTCCACTACAAATCTAGCACTTTCTATATATACCTCCCTTTAGCACTGACAGCCGCCCTCTGAGATAGCTGTTATCACCTGCATTTCACAGTGAAAAAACTGAGACTCGGGGAGGTTAAATAATTTGTTGGAATTCTTCAAACTAATAAGAGAGAGACTGGGATTTGCACCCAGGTTTGTCCATTCAGGGCCAAACTCTACCCACTGGACCACATTTTCTCCAGACAGTTAAACAGGCAACTTGGCATGATTCTCATTTCTTGTTTTCATGCTTGATTAATCTTTGATTTGAGAACCGTTTTGCCACATGTTTAGAACCTTTTTGTTTTTTTCAAAACAAAGTCCATTAAAAACCATTTTTATAATAAAACTTTAGCAATTTGTGACAGTTTGAACATAGAATACCTGTTTATTCTGTAAAAGAAGTTAGGATATTTTTAACTCATAATATATGATAGATCATTATACCATGTAACTTTCATTAACTTGAATAGTTTCATTTACTGATAAATATATATATATTTATGTCTTATTTGCTTAATATACATGCTTTTTAAAACTAAAATTTCCATTATTCAGACTCCATTTATTAATGGTGGAAATTGCTCTTATCTTAAATAGCATGATGTTGAGTACTTGCTAAGAAATAAGAATTGTGTACTGATTAAGTCATAGTCTTCTCTCCACTGTATTCTGAATTGATGAGGTTTTAATTATTGTTTTTTCAATTGATAGATTGGTTTGTTTTCCAGAAAATACATTTCAAATGTAGGAGTTTTTAGAGATAAAGTTGTGTATTAGTTTCCAATTGCTGCTGTAAAAAATTACCACAGACTTAGTGGCTTAAAACACCACAATGTATTGTTTTACAGTTCTGCAGATCACAAGTTAAAATTGGTTCTCCCTGGGGTAAAATCAGCTTATCAGTAGGCTGTGTTCCTTCGTGGAGGCTTTAGGGGAAATCCATTTTCCTGCCTTTTCCAGCTTCTAGAGGCTGCCTGCGCGCCTTGACTAGATGCCCACTTCCAGCCGGAGCTGGCAATGGCAGGGACTTGTTCACATCCCACTGCTCTCACTCTCATGCCCTGCTTCTCACTTTCACTTATACGGACCCTTGTGAGAACATTGGCCCCACACAGATAATCCAAGGACATCTCCCCACCTCCAGATGCTTAACTTAAAGGCACCTGCTAAGTCCCTTGGCTGTGTAAGGTAACACATGCACATGTTCTGGGAATTAGGATATAGACATTTTTGAAGGCCATTTTTCTGCCTACCACAACCAGCTAACATGAGAAAGTCATTAACAGTATGACTGCATTTTATGTTTTTTTAGATGTTTGTGCTTCCTCCCCAAGACACTAAAGACACTAATGTCCCCCAAGACATTAAAAATAAAATGTTAGTTCCCAAGTTGTAATTTACTCTATAAAGTCTTCGATATACTTTGGAATAAGCTGCTTCACAAGGAATTTTAATATATAATATTAGAAGTATAATTTAACTCCTAAGTAATGGGATAAAGAAATAGAAAAGATGGATTATATTTCTAGTTCTACTAATAATGTACTGAGTAGCCTTTGAGAGTTTCCCATCTGGCACATGTTATAATTTTTTCCTTGGTGGAGAAAATGTTTAAGACTTGTGCTGTTTAATGTGGTAGCCACTAGTCACTTGTAGCTATATTACATTTAAGTTAATTAAAGTTAAGTAAATTTAAAGGTCAATTCTTTGGTTTTGCTAGCCACATTTCAAGTGCTCAATAACAATATGTGGCTAGTGCCTATCACATTGGACAGCACAAAATATACATTTCCATCATTGCAGAAAAGCTTCTGTTGAACAGTGCTGATCTAGGGAATATGTGTTAACATTAAGAAGACTGTATAGTTAAAATTTTCACATTCATATGCATTTAGATATCCCTTAGGTAACTCAAAACAAGCATAATATGAAAGTAAATTTATATTCCACCTCTCTTCCTCCCTTTATTTTCCACCCCCCTCCCCCCCCCCCCCCGATAAAAAAGAACAACAAAAAACCCAAGCTGATTCCCATTCTTGTGTTTGTTCTCTGGGTTCATGCACCATCAAGCAGTGTACCCCTGACAGGAACTTTCAAGTCATGATTATTTCATCTCCATCACCACCTCCCCCCATCTAATTACTAAAACATGTCTAATCTGCTGTTTTTTCCCTCCTTCTCCCCCTTAGTTCAGGCCCTTATCACCTCTCTCACCTGGACTACCATAAGAGCTTTCTCAGAGAGGTCTAGTTGCCATACACTACCATCAGAAAGATGTTTTCAAAATGCAAGTATTCCTGAGAGAAATTATTGCATGACTCCTTCATTGGCATGCAAGCTCTCCATCAATGATTTGCATTGTGTCTATATCTCTCACCTTTCCAATCCTTGCCATTCTGGCTACAGCCATACTGAACCAGTAGCTGGTCCTGGAACTTGCTGCATCCTCTAGCTTTGCTCTTACTCCCTCTGCCTGGAAAACTTCCTCTAGCTCACCTTTAGCTTCCAGCCTTGATTTGTTTCAAATTAATCTCACCCGCCTCCCCGTGACTTCTAAACCTTTGCAGATATATACACAGAGTAGAGGGTTCCTTCCGACTGTGCGTACCTCCAGAGTCTCTCTCTCTCATCATGATTCTCATCATGAGAGTCATATCTCTCTCATCACTCTGCATTAAACACATCTCTTTATTTGACGCCCTTTCACTGTAGTCCAGTGACTGGAACATAGAAATTCTGTGGGAGCAGGATCCATGAGTTATGCTCTTTGTAACCCTAGAACCTAATATGTTGTCCACGGACATATACTGATGAGACACCATTGTATAATGTTTAGAAGGATAAACTTTGGAGTTAGACATGGTTCCTAATCCTGGTTACAACATTTACTAGAGATCAAACTACAGGCAGTTTGCTTAACCTCTCTGTTTCCTTCTCTGACAGTGAAGATTGTAATATCTTTATCAGAGTTGCTCTAAGGGCTAAAGATACAATATTCTTACTACACTGCCTATCATATAAATGCTCATAAAAGATGGCTGTGCTTAGGCTCTCAATAAATGTTTATTGATTTTAATAAGAGTTTTTCAAAATGATATTGCCTCTTTAATATTTATAAGATTATGTAACTATAACTTTTACACATACATGCTAGGTTTAATCTTCATCTAAGACAAACTCTTTTATGTGTATTTTTCAAATAAGTGACTTCAGTAGACTCTGCTCCAGCTGCTGTCATATCAAAACCTCAGTCTTCACCAAAAAAGGTTTCTCGTTCTTCAGAGGCTTCTAGGAAACCATTGCAAATATGCAGTCCTTCAGCTGAAATCAAGAGACCTAAGTGGGTCCCACCAGGTATGGTATATTTATTGATCAAGGGCAGGGGCTTGGAAAATTATTGCTGGTAGATTGTTTTCCTAGTTGTAAATGTTATACATATTATTACATTTTCTTCAAAACCAAGGTTTTGCATTTTTTTAATCACTCCCTCATATTGAGCATTCAGATTATTAGTTTTTTAATGTTATAAATGAGGTTGCAATAAGCACAAACAACCTTATTTTAGAAGTCTATGGTCACATCCTGATTATTTTCTTAAGATAAATTCCTGGTAGGAGAATTACAGAGTCAAAGAGTATCAGCATTTAAGATTCCTGATAAATGTTTTTGGCAACAAATCTGTTTGCTCAAAACCTTCTTACCTCCATAGTCCACCTGGAGCATCAGGGCCTACGCATGGAAATGCCAGCATTTGACAAATGCCCTAGCAAACTCAGCCTCCAGCTCATACAAACTCTTCTTTTTTCCCTTTTGTTCCACAGCCAGTTCTCACTGATGCTTCAAAAATTCTTGGATCTTCACACTACTTGACGTTACGAAAACCCTAATCCAGCCCTGTTCATTTTATACTCAAACTATTGGTGACTTGCTTCCTAACTAATTCTGTGTCCACTTTGCCTTGTCCAGTCATTAATTGCTCCTTAAACACAGAGCCTCTCTGCATACAGTTCCGTTTTTCTAGTATGCCTTTCTTCATGTGTCCCCTCTCCTCTGAGTTGCCAAGTCTGCTCAGGTTTACTTTACTTCTTTTCAGTCACATTTCTTGATTGGTCCACAGAGGTCACTCCTGTAGGCGTCACTAGTAGTAATAGACAGATTTAGGCCCGAGACATGATTATTTAATTTCTGTGCCTTTATTTCAGCTGAAATATTAGGTACTGTATAGTCTTTAAAGTCTTTTCTGGTTTAAAAAGTCTAAGATTTTAATGGGGACTTAAAAGTATTTTGGAGAAGGAAAGGAGGTTGTTACTGAATTAATGATGCCACGTCATTTAAGTCCTTAGTGTATTTCTGAGAATAATTAGTGATTCCCCAACAAAAAGAATTTAAAAGAAATGATATAATGACTGAAAACTTAAAGGTAGCATAATCAAAAAGATAAAAAGGAAATAAAGGAATGATATGGAATGGATGGATAAAGAGTTAATATCATAAAACACAAAGTATTCACAGAGTCATTGTATGGAAGAGTAGGGTCAGTAATGGGAGGGAATTGGGCCCAGGTCATAAACTTGAGTAACTGGGGGTTGTTTGACTTGCGATCTCATGCCCTTTGAAAGGAATCAGCTGTTGCTCAGTTCCACGTAATTGTTTACATGCAGGATTATTGGCTTGTTATTTCCAGGTCTGATTTTTTCTTCAAGAGAAGCTAGGAGTCTAGAATTTTTTTAATGTGAAATCTCCTAGTTTTTAAAATTTGACTGTTTTTTTAACATCGTGTGGACCAAACAATATACCTGAGAGCTAGATTTTAACCTCAAGTTGCCAGTTAGTTACTGTTTTACTTATATATGAGAAGACCACCAAGATCCCAGTGGGAAAACCAACCAAGGACATGAATATACTGATGCTCCTAAGAAATACAACTAGAAATAAATATGAAAAGAATTTTAGTCTCACTAGTAATTAAAGAAATATAAGTTAAAATAATAAAATACTATTTTATATCTTTCAAAATAGAAAATAATAAAGCAGTATAATCAAGGGCACCCTGGGTCTTAGGGTAGCAGATATAATTATTTACTATAAATTTATCATTCCTTTATAGGACAGCTTGACAGGAGTCATAAAAATAAACCTGTCCTTTAAGGAATTTATTCCTTAAAAAGAATTCAAAAGAAGAGAAAAGTAATAAGTGGTCAGATTTGTCTAAGTTTATATAAAAATGGTGACAAATGCAACAGTCCGAAAGTTTTTCAAAGAAATTTGAAATATGGCATATACATGCAATTAAGAATGATAAATCAGGTGATTGGAAACATGAAAGTGTTTATAAATCTTTACTTGAATGAAGTACACACAGTTTTACTTCTTATGACTACAGTCATCGTCAACTATGAACATTTTTGTGGATAAATTTTGATATTTAATACTTGATGGAAATAATTGCTATGTTAGAGTGATAGCATAAATGAAGCCAGTGTAAATAAAAAAAAAGTAGTATTTGTCCTGTTTAAAGTAATAGAGTATTTGAAAAAATAGATTCTTTCAAAGGAGTAATTGTAAAAATTGCAGGATTAAAAAAAAAATGCAATAGATTTTTCTACTATTTTCGAAATGATGACTGCATTCACTTTTTCCCCATTACAACCCATGTTATTTCTCCCAGTTTTTCTGTTTCAGCCCTCATGCTTAAAATTTTGGTATCATGACCTTGCCTTCTGGGGATGTTTGAAAATAGGTGATACTATATTCTTTTTGCTCTTTAATACTTCCCATTACTTTGATCTTGTTTATAACTTGATAAAACCTATATAGCAGAATAATGCTTGACTACATTTATTGCTTCCTTTATTTTATAGATTCATTTTTATTAAGAGATTTCTAACATTATCAGCATCGGCGGTATGTTTTCTTTCAGCGGTAACCGGAAGTAGCAGCACCAGCAGGAGTCCACTGGCAGCGGTGGCTGTTAAGTCTCCAAATCAGAGTCTTCGCCTTGGCTTGTCCAGATTAGCACGAGTTAAACCTCTGCACCCAAATGTCACTAGTAGCTGAGTGTGGTGGTGAAATGTTTGATTAAAAGAATCACAGTTTGACAAGTGTGTATATATTTGATTTGTATTTATATTTGAAGAGGGTATTGTAATATAAAGAGTGTTAAATCCTTTAACATAAATTCTCTACCCATTTTTTTATTATGTTCTCTGACAAGCTATTCAATACTTCAATAAGAAGTTTATTTATAAGAATTATCTTGTAAGGTCATTTCCTTCTGAAGAGCATATTCTGTATTCTTATGTGTAGTAAGTCATTGTCATTAAGTGGTTGTCTCTTTGAAATGGAGGAAGTCCACATTACATGCTGTTTTTTTCTGATAACATGAGGTTTCTTTCTAGCTTTGACTAGTTATGGCTCCTTAACTTTGTTCAGAGTTTATCCGGCAAAAGAAAACATTCCCATTTTTTCTAGGAGACATTTCTAAAATATGTTAAACTCTATTGTCAGTTTTATTGCCAAGATGTTTACTATTTGAGCCAAATATTTTTATAGTAAGAATTCAGAATGATTTTACACACTAAAACATATGCCAAAACAATATGGCATATGTCTCCTACTTAGATATAGATGGTTATTGTATAGCAGATAGAATTCATGACATTTTATGAAGCCCTCATTTTCAAAGCCTTTAATAAACATGAAAAAGTTTTGATATGCTCTTTTCCTTTATACCATTGTATCCATCCGTCTCTGTCTGCATTTCATAAGAAATTGAATGCTTAGCAAAAAACATTAGCATTTTGTATATATAAGGGGTGGGGGCCGGTAATCACTTTTTGTTAAGTCAGTGTATTAGAGAGTGGCTGTCAAGGTCCTACCTAGTCATCCCTGTTATGATATTAGATCATTTAGCTTCTCAGGAAACTTAGATCTGAATTTGTTCTGAATAAAAGTAGTAATAGATATTTTATATTTATGGTGAGAATTTCAACCAACTTCTGATCACTTTTTAATAAAAATTCTTGAAGTCACATTAACCATTAAAAATATAATAAATACATAGCTCAGTTCTTGGATTATGGAAACATCTATGTTAATATGAAAATAATTTAGAATTATGATTAAAGTGAGCATTTTCTTATTGCTATTGTCAATATTTTATTTAATGTAAATTTTTATACTGTCACGTATCACCTCACCTATCCCTTCACTCCTTTTTAAAAACATATTTTCCAGTTATACAGTATTGAGATACAGTTCAACAGTAAACAAGTATTAAGAGTTCACCCTGTATTCGGCACTGAACTCATTGATTAATCATCTGGAACCAGCTTGATGAACCTGTTTTGTCCATGTTATTCATAGTTTCTATTCAAAATTTCCAAAAATTAACAAGCTTCCTATTGACAAATACAGTGCACATTTTTTCTCATCTAATCTTGTACACCCTATTCATCATGCTCTGCATAATACATTTTATTTCCTGGGCTCACATAACGATATTCTTCCATAATTTTCACCCCACCTCCCTGCTCACTCTTCATTATTTTGCAGCTTCTAATCTTTTATGTCATCACCCATTCCTCCCACCATAAGTGTCATATTCTGTGATTTTATTCTTTGTCTTCTGCCCCTTTAAAAAAAGGAAATACAAAAAAACTTAGGTGATTTTAAGCTCCAGTGATTGCCTATGTGACAGTGACTGCCAAGTCAGAATCTTTAGTCCCTATCTTGCTCTGCACAGACCTGTTGGCTGGCCCATTGAAAATTTCATGTATTAAGTCATCACTACATAACATCTCCCCCTGCTCCAAAGTCTTCTCTCCTGCATTTTCTGTTAGTAAGTGGCACCACCACAAACTCAGGTGCCTAAGATACTGTCACCCTTCATAGTCAATCACCAAGCTTTATTTCATTTCCTCAGCTGCTCAAAACCGTTCTCTCCTACTTGTCCCTTACTCCAAACAGCATCACTTAAATGCTTTTAACAGGCACCCTTGGGTTGATTCTTACCCTACTCTGGCCTACCCTCTGTGCCATATTTGCCAGAGAGAGTTTTCTAAAATAAAGGCTGAGCATCTGAGCATGAACACCATTCTGCTTAAAATCCACACACATACACCTTAACCTGTTTAGCTCACAAGAAACTTCGAATCAGTCCGACTCCCACTGATACTCATGGGTACGGTGTGGTCCTGTGGCCTTCCCTGGGCCTTCAGACTGGCTCTTATTTGCTTTCTCTGCATGCTAATTCCCGCTTGTCCTTGAAGACTCAAATTCAAGTCAGCTTTTCAAAAATTATTTGGATGTCTTGGTTCTTCTGTGGAAGAAACTGGGTATTCCTTCAGGCCATGCTACTGTCATTCAACTATAACTTTCCTTAGTTTTCTTCTTTTAAAACTTGGTGCGGAGCAAGTGCTCAGAAAGTGTACATCTGATGAACACTTTCTATCCAAAACTTTAGCTATGAGCTTCTGGTAACCACACATTGAAGGGGAAGAGGATGAGGATAATTTCATGAGTCTGGTCTGTCCTGACAACTCTAATCTTTCTTTCTGGGGAAATCCTTCAATTCTTGTTCCGAATTGAAAAAACTGGGGCAAGAAAATGGGAGCAGATAGAGAAATGTGTTTTTCAGGTTGATGTGAAAGGTGGTAGGGACTGGACCAGGCCCTTAAGTTCTTTCAGCTCCGAAGTCATAAAAAGGGCGGACGCAATTTCTATAGCGACGGGAGGAGGGTGTGGCCTCCCAGAGGCCCTCCACGTTGCGGTTCTGCTGCAGCTTCGTGCAGCTCTTCCCACCTCGGGCCCCCTCCTAACAAAGTAAGGGCGAGAGGCTTCGGTGGGGGGGGGGCTCGTGATCACGCCGGGGGCCAGCCAGCTAGCTCCCAGCGACCCTGCCCTTCAAGGGGAAGAAGCATTTGAGGCAATGGGGAAAGGAGGTGGGGTAAGCGGAGAGAATGAAAGGCGTACTGAATGCAAAAAAGTAGAAGGGGGCGTGAGGGTCGGAGGAGAGCGGGGCGGATGTTAAGTGCGGAAAGGCAAATACAATTTTAGATCTTGTTTGAGCAGCTGCATACTCACAACCCCACCTTGGTAACCTTTCTGTTCATGGAACGTTGCATCACTGATATCCGCTGAGTTTGGGTGGGGAGGGAGGGATTTTAGGGAACTCCTAAGGCCTATCCTGAAACTAACAGCCCTGACCCCAACAACCTGGGGCCCAAGACTTTCTTACCTCCTTTGTTTATGTTCACTGCCTGTCCCGTCCTTTTGGTCCCAAGTGAGTCCCTGACCTTTCGCGGATGGCCTGGTTGATACTAAACTGTTCCCACCCATCCCATAGCCTTGTGCCTCCAAGCAGAGCCCCATCCTTGACACAAGAGCCCTTTAAGGTGTATTCATCCAGAGCAACACCTTCCTCTCAGGTGCTACCTGCCGCTCTGGGGTAATTCCCAATATTAGCAATTTTTTTTCCTTAAAAAGGGGACGGATGATATAAAATTTGGGTTTTTTAAAAAAAGTGTAGTTAATTTGTGGTATTTGCTATGTTTGAAATGTCCATCAGCCAGTTCAGGGCTTAAGTAACTTGTCACCCCTCAGACATATTTTAAATGACTGGCTGTCAACAATCTTAATTCACACTTCACTGTTCAGACCTAAATGGAGATTGGCAAAAGTGTGAGGCCATTTAAATGAAAAGTTCAGAAGTGTCCCTTGTGATCAACCTTGCTTGAGGGATTTAATCACCTACATGTGGTAGATACATTGGTCCTGTGACTTGAGACTGTTATTTCTCTTCCTTGTTTTAGTCCTCTTTTTAAATTTTTATTTATTTTTATTTTTTAATGTATTGATTATGCTGTTACAGTTGTCCCATTTTTTCTTCCCTTTATTCCCCTCCACCCTATACCACCCCAGCATTCCCCCCTCTCTTAGTTCATGTCCATGGGTTATACATATAAGTTCTTTGGCTTCTCCATTTCCTATGCTCTTCTTAACCACCACCACCCGCCACACACCCCACCACCACCTATTTTGTACCTACTATTTATGCTGCTTATTGCCTGTACCTTTTCCCCATTCTTCCCCCTCCTCCTCCCCTCTGTTTTACTGTTCATAGTTTCTGATCTTCTTTTTCTTAGATAAGTCCCTTTAACATTTTATATAATAAGGGCTTGGTGATGATGAACTCCTTTAACTCCTTTAACTTTACCTTATCCGGGAAGCACTTTATCTGCCCTTCTATTCTACATAATAGCTTTGCTGGATAGAGTAATCTTGGATGTAGGTCCTTGCCTTTCATGACTTTGAACACTTCTTTCCAGCCCCTTCTTGCCTACAAGATTTCTTTTGAGAAATCAGCTGATAGTCTTATGGGAACTCCTTTGTCTCCTTTTCTCTTGCTGCTTTTAAGATCCTCTCCTTATCTTTAATCTTGGGTAACTTAATTATGATGTGCCTTGGTGTGTGCTTCCTTGGGTTCAACCTCTTTGGTACTTTAAGGGCTTCCTGGATCTCCTGGAAGTCTATTTTCTTGGCCACATTGGGGAAGTTCTACTTCACTATTTTTTCAAATAAGTTTTCAATTTCTTGCTCTTTCTCTTCTCTTTCTGGCACCCCTATGATTTGGATGTTGGATCGTTTAAAGTTGTCCCAGAGGTTCCTAAGCCTCTCCTCATTTTTTTGAAGTCTTCTTTCTTCATTCTGTCCAGTTGAATGTTTATCTCTTCCTTCTGCTCCAGATCATTGATTTGAGTCCCAGTTTCCTTCCTTTTACTCTTGGTTCCCTGTAACTTTTTTTTTTATTTCACTTTGCATAGCCTTCACTTTTCCTTCCATTTTGCAACCATACTCAACCATTTCTGTGAGCATCCTGATTACCAGTGTTTTGAACTGTGCATCTGATAAGTTGGCTATCTGTTCATGGTTTAGTTCTATTTTTGGACCTTTGATCTGTTCTTTCATTTGGGCCATATTTCTTTGTCTCAGGTGCCTTGGAAATCATTAGAAGGGGGCGGAGTCTTAGGTATACGCCAGGGCGAGGCAACCCTGGT